TTTTAAAATATTCACATCTACAAATATAATACAAATTTATCGAAGATATTATTCCAATATTTATAAAAATGTTAAACATTTTTTACTGAACCAAAATATACACATTTAAATAATGTTAAAGAATACGTTCACAAGGTTAGACTAAACACACAGTTAGCGACATAACCTTACTTATGTGACGTAATTTTTGCGGGAATTTCAAATCATAGCAAACTTTACCATTTCCAAACTTCTTGTTCTTCTTCTTGCTTCTTTTTTCTTGGACTGGAATTTTCTCCTTTTGTTCTTACACCTTTCTTCTTTGGTTTCTGTTTTAAAATTTTATTTAAGTTAAATAAAATTATAACATGTTATATCATTAATGATATTGATTATATATTATTAAAATATTATTTAGATATTATTACAAGGACCATACCCTGCCCGTCTGTGCTCAGACTCAAAAACAGAACAAATATCAGAGGCTACCAATTGTAACCAAGGTACATTCAAGCAACGGGCACGGCACAGTCACGTGTAAATGTATATTTACTTGTTCAATTTCATCTTCATCTTCGTCATCATATTTCCGCTTCTTTTTTTTTGTTTTTGTATCGTTTTTCTTAGGCTTTTTACGTGCTGAGAGAGGAACATCATCTTCTTCTTCTGAATCTAAACTTCTTTTACTACTAGGAACTATGGATCTTGCACTCTGTATAATTATTTATTTTATTAATATATGCATATATAGAACTAATATATACATATGTAGACTGTCGAAATCATGGTATAATCGGTCAGAATATAAGTTTACATATCAAAATTAAAAAAAAAAAAATTTTCCACATGATGCTTCATTTTCGAGAAAATCGAGTTTAAAAATTTACTAAGTATACTTAAATTTAGCTAATTCTAGACGTGACAAGAAAGAATAATTAACAGATTACCCTATGTGCAAAAATAAACAAAATGGAGAAAAAAATTTTTTCATTTATAACTTTATTTTTAAGAAAATAGAATATGTTTTGTTAAAAATTGTTAATACACATGTACTTGATAAGTTTTCAAACTCGATTTTCTTGAAAATGAAGTACCATATGAAAATTTTTTATTCTTTTTTTGATTTATTTTTATATGTAGACTCACATTGTGGCTAGTTGGTTGTATCACGATTTCGGAGGCATCCTGTATATATTTATATATATCTATTTTATATGTATAAATATTTCTAAATAAGTTTCTAAATAATAAGAATTTGATATATAAATATATATATATTAATATAAATTGAACATACTAATGGCATGTCTTCATCCGAATCTTCTTCAGTTTTAATTGTTGTATTATGAAGATCTGAGAGTCTTGTATCATTTCCATCAGTTGAATCCATACTTCCTTCTTCTTCATTGATAGGTTCTTCTTCATCTTCATCAACTTTAATATATAATGGTTGTTCTCCACCACTGTCATCATCATCTTCTGGTTCAATTTGTGATATAGGTTCCTATAATTTATTGTTTTAAATTAATTTATTATTTTGTTATGGAAATTCATTTCTTCTTAAGATCAAATATATTAAAAAGAATATAATATTTACTTCTTTTATTTCATGTTTCAAAGTTTGACCAACATCAAACTGAAATACTTCATTTACGACGTGATTAGGTTTTACATCTATTGCCTCTTCTTTTACCTTAACTTCTTCCTTCTTTTTCTCTTTTTTATCTTTATCTTCTTTGTGTTTTGCTACAGATTAGATAAAATGCTATTATTTTTATTGCTATTATTTTATTATTTTATATTACAACTTACATTTTTCTTTGTCATGACGATGTCGATCTTTTTCTTTATCCTGGCGATGCTTATCCTTACTTGACAAACTATGTTTGTCTTTGTCAGAAGAGCGATGTTTTTCTTTATCATTTGCATGAGATGCAGAATGTCTTTCCTTGTCCTTCTCCAATGAATGTTTTTTCTCCTTTTCTTTATCTTTAGAAATATTTTTATCCTTATCTTTGTCTCGGGAACTTGAACTTATACTATGTTTATATTTATCCCTATCCTTACTTTTGTCTTTGTCCTTTTCTTTATTTTCTTTATCCTTGGAACTACTGTGATGCCTATAATATAAATTTCTTATATACAAACATAAAAAAGTAATTATTGTAAAATTATATTAAATCATACCTATCTTTATCCTTAGAACTAGAACTAGAGCTAGATTTATGATGATGTTCTTTGTCTTTGCTTTTATCCTTTTCTCTATCTTTGCTTGAAGAACTAGAAGAACTACTTTTATGTTCTTTATCTTTGCTCAATGATGAACTACTTTTTCTTTCCTTGTCTTTATCTTTGCTACTGCTATTACTATCGTGTTTATCCTTTTCTTTAATAGAATTAGAACTGTGTTTATGTCTATCCTTTTCCTTATCCCTATGTTCACTTTTATGATTTCTATCTTTTTCTTTGCTTCTTTCTTTGTCTTTATGATCAGATTTGTGAGACCGTTCTTTGTCCCTATGTTCTGACTTGTGTTCTCTTTTTTTATCAAATCCATTTGACATGCCATTTATATGGGCATCTGGAAAAAATTAATTGTAATCATTTTGTTTATTAATAATCATTCAATTAAAATTTCATAATTACTAAAATATTATTAAAAAAAACTTTGTATTTTCGAATTAAATTTATTACATATTGAAATATTTATTTAAACGTAAACTACAAAAATAATATATATTATTTCTTTCATAATTATATTTAAAAGAATTAAATTAAAGGAAATTTCGTCATTTTTACTCCAGAAAATGAAAATTCTAAATTTTTGCAATACAGAATGCAAGCAAGTGCCAATTCAAAAAATAAAACTAAATTTGAATTTCAGGAAGTCATAAGTAGTTCGGATGCTTCGTCAGAGCCGAAACACGTGTCAGACCGGTTGGGTCGTTGGCAGCCTCAACTCTTTGGTCGTCGCATCGAACTTAATATTTACTGCTATAAAGTTTCGATTTCAACAATGTCAGAGTGCATACGAATAAATCGCTTACCACTATGATTTCCAGTCACACTGCTATTCTCCTTAATTTTTTTTTCCTAAAACAATAAAATTCATACAAAAATATCATTTTAATAAAATTGTAACACGATATATAACCATCTACTCTTCTATCGGACTTAACGTCTGGCGATGTAAGGCAAGCCAGGTAGGACTTAGTCGCAGACGCCATTTTGGGACTTAGAAAAATTTCGCGTCCACGACTATGCCGTGCATACAAGAGAAAAGCCATAATATAAGATAAAATATTGAAAAACGGTACACGTAGATAAACGCAGCGAAACAAATAAATACTAAATCGTCACTTACTGAATCAGGATTCGACTGCATTGTCGATTGCTCAAGCTCCATTTCTCATACGAACGCGACTGATAGACTCTAGCAACGCAAGGACTAACAGAAGCGAGAGAAGTAAAGAGAACTGGGGGCCACACACACCACGCAACTTAGTCGTTATTCGACTATACACTTCGACTGCAGCCGAGCCTACGCTTGGCTTAGATCATATAGGAGACTCAGTCTAAGTATCGAAAATACCTAACTGCGCATGCGCATCTTTGCTCCGCCTATTCGATGTCCAATATAACCCTTTGTTCCGCAGTTCGTATCTGACTATTCAGTTATATTTTGTTGCGTTAATAACGTTGGTTTATAAATGTAAACGCTTACGATTTTACAAATAAATTGCAATGAAAATTTTCGTTAATACATGAGTTGGGTTTTCCTACTAATGAAACTGGTTTTGATTTTGAAAAAAAATATTTAATTTTTCCTCCCCCTTGTCACGAACTTCAATTCTAAATAGAAATGTTTGTGACATAAAATCGAATATCGAAATTCGTAACATGTGCACAGAAAACATTGTATCATAATAAAAGTTACAATTGTTTACTTTTTAATTTTTTAAAATTTCATCAATCATTTAAAGAAATATATAAAATAAAATGATTATTGTATAGTTTCCTATGAACTAAATGTTTATAGTTCTGTTAATTTATTTTTAATATATATAGTATATTTAAAAAAGACGTTATATACTTATAATTATATACTTATATATATATATAGATTAACTTTATTTATGTATATAATTACTATATAAAAATTAAAATTCATTTTGCATCAAAATTCATTAGTTTATTTTTATAAAATGTAATTCATGCAATCATTTAATATATAAAAATTAAATTTCATTTTGCATCAAAATTCATTAGTTTATTTTTATAAAATGTAGCTCAATGGGTAAAAAAGGTTCTTCCATCTTGTTAAATCATGATACAACATTAATTTAATTTTATGTTTATATAAAGAACAATCAAATCCATGAAAATACATTGTACATATTTAACTTGGTGTAATATACTGTTGAATTCATTGAATCAGATATCTATATATTGTATCAACATACATTTCTATTTTCATAGGAACAGACTAGTTGGTACAATATAAAGTCAATGGTCAATTTTATACTAAAAACTTTACAGTTCGAATTTTTATGATTTTATATATTCTAATTTTGCTTCTATTTCATTTTTTGAAAAGCAAATACTGCATACAATGCTAAAACAAAATTAATCAATATTATCGTAATAAAATTAAACATATTTAATTACCAAATTATATAAATTTTATACTAACAAATAACTTCCCATTCTGGTTGAGACAAAGTACCAATCTCACGACGATTTGAAGTTTTTTGTGTGTTATATTCTTTAGCATGTTGATAATCTTTATCAGGATTGCCAGCAAGCTTTTGCCCATGTCGAGGTGGATAAGTTTCTAAAGCTTGTATTTTACTAAGTAATCGTTTACCTTTATTCTTATCCTTCATACGTTCATAAAAGCTATCAAATCTACAATTAAACAATATAAAATTTTTATCAAACATAATAGACATACAATAAATACAGCTATTAAATCTTTTTTACCTTTCAAACTTTACTAAATTTAAATCAAATTTTAAAGCTAATTTACAAAATACAGGTAAATAAACAAGAAATTCTGGACAATTAACAAGATTGCCTAATTTAAAATGATATTTAGCACCAAAAAGTGGTGGTTTTTTTTTGTTACAAGAAAATTCTACATTATAAATATCATTTCCAAAACTGTTACCATCACATCTTTGCCACCTAGAACTAATATAATTTTTATATAATTTTAATTAAAAGATATTTTCCAAATATTAAGAAATAAGCTCACACTAAATCATATGCATCTGGAATAGTTCCAATAAAATAACCTCCTGGTTTTAAACATTCACTTGCATTTTTTAGCATACATTCTGCTTGTTCTAATGACTCAAAACAATAGTGGAATGCAAATTGACAACTAACCAAGTCAAGTTTTGTACTAGGATCTTTAAATTTTGATCTTAATCGAACCTGAAACCATTTTTTATCAAAAATTTCCACTGGGAACATATATAATGATATAAATTCCAGAGTAATAATTACATTCTAACAGCTGATTTTTAATATTGCTCTTGTGAAAAAATAAAAGCAAATACCTTTGTACAGTCAGCTGTTATAAATTCAGCTGAAAAAATATGAGAATATCTTCTTTCTGCAGAATTTCGGTTTAACATTTCATTGTATCTATCTTGACATTCTCGTATGGTTCCTTCAGCCAAATCAGCACAAATCAAATGTATTACATTTAATTTTTTCCACTTAAATAGATCTCCACCTCTACCACAACACATATCTAATGCTTTTAAACAAGCTCCACGAATTTCATTGGTGTATTCAACTGTAAATAATTTTTAATTAAAAGTTGTTGCATGCAAAATTATCATTTTATGTAGAAATTAGAATCTTACACATAAGCATGCTTTTAATCCAATTATTAAAATTTCTCATATACAAAATTCTGCTTTTATTCCTGTCATTATCTAATATTGTATTATAATGTTGAATAACTAATAATGAGTTAGCACTATATTTTTTCTTGCTTAATGATTCATCTGTTTCTTCACTATTATTGGAAGATAATTCTGATGAAGTATTATTAACCTATGATGCACAAATAGAAGAAAATGATTAAATAAATAAATAAATATTTTAGAAATAATAGTCATATATACATATGTGATATAATAGTCATATATACACTTTGTGCAGCATCACATTTTACTCTCTTAGACGAACTTGCATCTGAAGAATGCTCCTCAATTTGGGAACGTTTATTTTGTCTATAATTATCCTCTTTCTTTGATATTTCATCTTGTTTTTCTTTGGCCTCATTCATTGCTCCAGGTGCAGACATATCTATGTAAATAAAATCTCATCAAATTATTAAATTTTATTCTACTGCTTTTTCAATAGATATACTTTTGTTCCCTAATAAATATTATGTTATATATATATTTGTAAATAAATCATTACTATCGTATATGTTTAAGTAAAAACAGACCATTTGTGAAAAACTAGGTATACACGTTTAACACTTACAATCAGTGCCTATAATTCTTTTATGTCTTATTTCCAACTTTCCCATACAGTATTGTAACTTGACGTTATCAATGCTAACAACGTTAGTCATATCTCATAAAAATACCCTAGAACTTATAAAGGTTAGCAAATTATTTTTTTATTAAATAATAATCGAAGTAACAATTAATAATGACTCTTTAGTGATTTAAAATACAGAATTTATTAACAATAGACATGTACAAAATAATATGTATAAGCTTTATCTTTTTCAAATAAGAAACTATATTTTCATCTTGAGATTTATTTATTTTTAACTAAATATCAAGATATAGAAAATACTTTTTTCATATAAATTTAAACAATATCAAACTATCTCTATTATTTATATTCTACATTCCCGATTTTGTTTTCTTATAAATGTGAATATGTAATGTTGTGAATATGTTTTCCTCTTTTTTTATATTAATGTATGAAAGGATAACGGTAAAGTTAACATTTGATATATATAAATTTATTAAAATTAATAAATATAAATAATAAATAATAAATAATAAATATAAATATAAATATAAATATAAATA